AATCATTAAAATCAATTCTGTTGTCTGGATTACAAGACCTTGAGATTTACAAAAGATATAAAATCTTTCAACTTTGAGGCAGCAATCACAGATGACACACGAAATATTGTTGTTCAAGTGTCTGGATGGATGAATGTATTCTTTATAGAAAAAACATTAAAAATGGCTACATAAAAGCTGATATTCACTGTGCCTGATGTATTGGACTCCCAAGGTTAGGCATACAGTAACAGTCGGGATATTATTTGTTTTTGGTCCCCTTCATTCTGCACTGGAAATTGGTTTTCTTCCAGCTTGCCCTGCAGTACTTGTTCAGTGCACAGTATATAACACCGTTGGGTAGCTGCTGTGGCATATGCTTGCTGCCGCCCTCACACTTTTGAAACCTCCAGAGGCTGCAGCTGCAGTGTTATTGAGTAAATCACTGGTTTCTCTCTAGGCTGTATAATATAGCTATATTTTATTTATTTAATTTGGGTTATTTGATATTTATATTTTAGATTTTTTTTTTTATATATATATACTTTAAAAAAAAAAAAAAAATTTTTGCCGCTTCAGTATGGGCACAATTCTTCCTCTTCCTGGCCAAAGCTCAGTTTTTACAGAATTATTTTCTCAGAATAATACAGTTTTGGATGAAAATCAGTAATGTGGGTTCAGAGTGACTAACTTGCCTTTTCATTTAAAATTTTTTTGAAGAGTATTTCTAGAGCGTCTGAGACCTCAGTAATTTCCCACTGGTGGTGTCATGCATCAGCACCATTTTACATTCTCTGCTCACCAAAAAAACCTCAGAGAATATATGTATATATGCTGCACTTCACTTGAGAGAAGTAATGGTCACATGTAGGGCTGTCAAAATGGCTGAAAAACTAAATTCAAATTTTTTACTTAAATATCAATATTCAAATTATATTCGAATTTAAAAGGCATAATTTCAGGTAGGGGGAAAAAAAGCTTTTGGCTTCTCTCCTGAGGCCACAAGAGGGTGCATCAAGCAAAATATTATGCACATTTCTTCAAAGCATAATAAAATAACACGACTATCTTTGAAAAAAGTGCATAATGTTTAAAATAATGTTTATAAACCTTATATAATTTATAAGTTGCTTAAACAATTAGAAACAAAACGTCATCATGCATGTATGTATAGTTTAATACAAAGGACCGAAAACCAATCACAAAGAATAATTTTTTAATTTAAAAACATGAGATGCAGTGGGATGGAGAAAACTGCCATAAAGTCTTGAGACATGTATTTTAAAAGTTGAACTTACATTAATTTTACATAGCTCTCTAAACATGCGGCTCTCTTGTGCGAGACGCGAGTGCAACGGTGATCGATGTCCCTCTAGAAAATGCGATAAATATGCGTTCTGTGTGAACGGCTTGGTTTCGGTTTTGACGTAAACAACATCTGAACAACGTAGCAGCGCCGCATCTAGTGGGTTCAACTGGATAGACTAACAAAAGCATTAAAATGCAATGACACTTACATCATCGTCGCATTTTGTGCGCTACTGATAATACTGCCTGACGCACACCTAAAATTCGAATGCAACGTTTTTGCATTCGAATGTGGATTTTTATTTCAAATTTGACGAATATTCGAAATTGGATATTTATTTATTTTTTGACAGCCCTAGTCACATGTAATTCTCCTACAAAACTTTTGTGCTGGTTTTCTGCCACCGTCCACCAACCTACCACTATTTAAATCATATTTAAATCAAGAACCAGTTGACTAGATAATCATTTTCAACCAATGTCAATCATTTTGTATTTATAATAGCATTTTTAAGCTGATTTGAACACTATTCTGCTGTAGGCTAGAGTTGAATCTTGGTCATGCTGTTGCGTTTGATGCCAGTCATTCAGGCCGGTTGATATCTCGGTTTAAGAAGGGCAGGTGAGTGCCGGGTTATGATAATGTTAATGATATCAGAAGCCATTTACTTCAGAAGGGCACCTTGTCTGAAGCCCAGACCAAATACCCTGAGTGCAGCATCCTTAAAAGCCTTTCAGCCATCTCTGTATTCAGCATGTTTGATACATGATAGAGTTTCTACAATCCTTTGTGTAGAAGATATTTAAAAGGAAGGCAAGTATACAGGCAAGTAAGATCTTGGGTACCTAAAGAGCATATTAGACCAAAACGTTTATAAATTGTAACATTTTTATTTAAAAAATATACGTCTTAAGGGAAAAAAAAGATATTTTCAGTTGGCCACATCTTTACCCACTATACAGATATGAAATAGTACATACTACAATACAAAAGGAAAACGCGGGGCTTTGGGGAGAGGAGGCTGAGAAGCATTCATTTTTGCACAAAGAAGTTTTTGGGTTGGCCAGAATGAGCAGCAGGACTTCAGCGTATAGCAAGATAACCCCCCCCCTTTTTAAACTTAAAAAAAAGTTTACAGGAGTGCAAATGGGTTCATGTTCAGTGTTTTTTTGTGATTGGTTATAAGCTGATCATTTACACAGATTACAGTATTTGTCACTATTTCATTAGGAAGTCGTTCTTCCCCAACTTATGTCTAAACTATCAGATCAGGATGTGAGGCTTGTCTGTTTTTTTTTTTGGGATGGTTGGTGATGTTCATGTTTTCTTTAATGCAAGGTGTTTTTGAGGAATGCAGAAAGCAAAGGTCAGCTTCACTAAATCCAAAACAAAGCAACACCATTGGTGGAGGTTCTTGGCTCAGTAAATGTTAGCTGTAGTTTTCCTCATTCAGTCCAACAGCATTTAAAAAATGCATTTTGTAATGTTATTTCTCAGCTACTCCTCTGGCTGGATGGAATAGATCAGCTACACAGACCTACATTCCTTTTCTATTTGTCTTTACCAACATAAAATTGTGTTTTGCAGGGTTGGAGTTAAAGGGGTCATATGATGCTTTTTTAAAGATCATTATTTTGTGTATTTGGTGTAACAGAATAGCAGCTGTTCCTCACTCATGGTATTTTACAGCACCCTCTAGAGGACAAATTTAATAAGTCTATTCAGGCATGCTTAATTTCAGTATTGGATAATTACCCACGTTTTTTCTACTGTCATTATGTAGGTGACCAAACAATGGGTTTTGATATAGATGCCAATTTCTCAGATTTTGAGCTGTCCACCAAAAACCTCTGCCTGGATATGACTACATGTTTCTTTATTTTTAGCCTTTTTTTCTTAAGCTATATAGCTTGATGACCTTTTTTTTTTTTTTTTTTTTCAAAATATGCAATAAGCCTCATTGCGGCGCAACTAGGGTGGAGTTCAGAGCTTTCCAGCTCTTGCCCAGGGTGTTGTCAGTCACTGTTTTGTCATGCAGTTCTTTTTTCCTCTAATGGCTTCTGTACCCTGATTTAGCCTCAGTCGGTGGCTCCTAAAATGCTCATTGACTTCAATTAGATGCTAACCAGTGTTTGTGTTCCCTGTACCCCCTTGTGCATCCCTGCCCCCAACTCCTGATTGCAACACAAAGAGCTTCTGCAGTAGCGGCTTCTTTAGTTTGATTCTAATGTCTGTCCTCTCAGTGCTGCATACAAATGTCTCCTGACCCAGCCTCTCGCCGTCTTCTGCATGCTCTCCTGAGAGCTGCGCTACAATTTACTTCAGCTTTTCTCTCTGTTTCTGTTTCTTTAGTGTCCTTGGTATGAACCTCTGGATATTTCTTGCACAGACGAAAAAGGCCTTCTTTGTCTTTATGGGCTAAAAGGAGCAAGGCTATGAAGTAATAACTCTCTTGTCTTTTTTTCCTTTTAAGTACTGCTTTTGTACTGGCTAAGGAGGTTGAAACTTGCAGGGCAGAGGTTTTGGGTGATAGAATATTAGATAAATTTTCCCTGAGCTTAATTGACTCAATGTTGAAGCTGTCAGGTGTGATTATGCTCTATGCTGTGTTTGAACAGTGCAGCAAACGTATGCCTGTATTTTTAGGAGGCAATTGTCAGTGTCCTCTGCATGCCTTCTTTTTCTAGCTCTTCCCCTCTCCCTAGGAATGTGTTCTCGCTGGTGTTTGCTTCACAACATTCTTTGATGGTCTCTACCATTAATTAATGATGCAGTGATCTAAGCAGCATTGTTCTATCACAGTGAGGATGTCAATGTTTGGAGCCATCTTATGTAAGAATATATGCACAATGATAATTGAGGGATTGCCTCTGTTTAACATTTTAGTACATTTCTGCTGAAGTCGTAATAGAGGGAGCTTGTTCGGACATTTTGATAGAACCAGTGCAGGGCCATATTGGACCTTAACCTTTTCACACAAAGTGCTAGGCTTTAAGATTTCAAGGAAGAAGACAGAGTTTATTGAATTTAACCAAATGCAAAAACGGGAAGGCAGTTAAGTGTTCTCATTAGTTTAAATTTAAGACTCTATCAAAGTGAAACGATCATTTCTGACACATAAGGTAGCCAAATAATGTGAGTGGGTTGAATTCCCTGTTCAAATTTCATTATGTGGCTCAATTTGTAACACTACTTTTTTCAATTTAGAGCATGTTTAAAAAATATGCTTTTTGCCCATGTTTTTTTTTGTTTTTTTTCTCTCCCCAAAAGTGAATGTGTGAGTGAGATCTATAGTGTTGCTAACGTGCACCAAAAGTTTTTTGTTTTTTTTTTTCTTTTAAATTTGCACTGCTCAGCATATGTAACACTATTTTTCCATGGAATAAAATTTCACCATTTATCAGAAGATATGTCATTTTATAAATGGTTTTCTGGAGCTCAGGGTTCCAGGCGGTTTGGCTATAGATTTCTCATTTCCTCTGTGCTGCAGAATACATAATACACAAACTGGTGATGCTGTGACACATCCAACCTTCCTCTGCTGAGATTGATTGCCACAGCTAGATATGAACCTTTGCATTTGTATTACAAAAATAAACTTGATTTCTCTATATTTCCTCTTTCCTAATTTATCCCAGTCATCTCAAGTTTTCATAGATTTCCAAAGCTAACAATTTCAAAGAAATATTCTTCATACAAACTGAAAAGGGGGGGAAAAAAGTCCAAAAGCAAACCCTGTTTCTTTTGAAATGGACAAATGGTTAAATCCAGAAACTGTAGGAATAAATAGAGTTTATACTTCACACTCTTTGTAAGGCAGTTGCTGACATTTGCACTGCCCATAGCCATTGATGATCACAAGTGCACCCTCCTCATGACTGGGCTCGTACTCGTTATAGGGCACCTGTGTGGCCAGGTCCGCCATTGGCTGTCTCTGCTGGGTCCTCATCTGTCGCCGATTTTGAATGGCCGAGCAATGGCGGATCCGCCTCAGAGTGGGAGGGCAGCATTTTCGTGATATGTACACTACAAAAATGATGAGAAAGAAGGAAAACAACAGAGCCATGGTGCCAATGATGACCCTCTGGGTCAGCACTGTGTTGTCCATCGCAGAGTAGTCCTCTGTAATGTCTGCCCCCTCCACTGTCATGGTAGTAGCGAGGGCAGTGCGTGGGGGTTGTGTGGTGGTGGTAGTAGTAGTGACAATCGTAAAGCTCCCAAAATCCTCTGCATAGAAGTCTTGCGTAGGGGTCTGCATATTTCCGAACAGGGAGCTTGTGATCTCGGGGAGCATGGCCTCTGTGCTGGTACTGGTCAGTATGACTGGGGCTGAGAAATTTTGGCAAAATTGGAATCCGTAAACGGCATCCAGTATTTCCTCACCCTGTGCGTACTCAGGACTGTGGCAGAGGATAGAATGCTCCCATCGACCCTTAAAGGTGCTCAGCCAAGTGGCTAAATTGCAGATTCGTTTGGTACATTCCCAAAGGTTGCTCGAAAGCCCAATCACATTTAGGGACTTCCACATATCCATGGTTTGCGTATCGAGGCTGGTCAGTTTGTTGTTATCCAGCATCAGGATCTTGAGGTTGGGCAAAGTCTCAAACACGTCGGGGGTGAGTACACGTATCTCATTCCCAGTGAGGTCCAGTTTCTCCAGAGTTGTCCATTTCCATTCCATGGTGCATGTTAAATTGTTTATCTTGTTCCACTGAAGATAAAGGAACTGGAGGGTGACCAGACGAGGGAAGTGTGCCAAGTTAATCTTGGTCAAGTGATTGTGTTCCAAATGGAGCTCCCGCAGCTTAATTAACCCGGCGAAGCCGTTCCGGGCCAGGCTACGGAGCCGGTTGTTGCTCAAGCCAAGGTATTCCAGGCTCCGGCAGTCCCAGAAGGCCCGCACAGGCGTTGTGCGCAGTGAGTTTGACCGCAGGTGTAGGATCTGGAGTTTCCGGAGCCCATGAAAGAGCTCAGGCTCCAGAGCTGTCATCTGGTTGAAGGAGAGATCCAAGATCTGCAGGTTGATGAGGTGGATGAAGGTTGTGTTTGGCAGCTTGGTGATGCGGTTTGAGCTCAGGTTAAGGTCCTTGAGCTTGTACAGCCCCTGGAAGGCATCCTCATGCACGGTGGTTATTTGGTTGTGGTCCAGGTGAAGCCAAGTGAGCTGGGTGAAGCCAAAGAACTGGTCTGAGCTGAGCTCGCTGATGCTGTTGTGTCTGAGCGAAAGTCCAAGGGCCCCTTTATCCACACTGTCTGGGGGCGCCAGGAGCCCCTGCGTGTCGCAGTAAAACTGCAGGTCCTCACATCGGCATTTCTGGGGGCAGGTTGTGCATGACACAGGAGGGAGGCACAGTAGCATGCTGATCACGCAAAGTGCCGCTGGTGCTTGTCCCACCAATGGCCACCTTGAATGGAAACCTGGGTGGGTTTAAAGATAAGAAAATAAACTGGGGGGGGAGGGAAATCTAATCTCTGCAGTACACAGAAACATTTTTTTTCCCCCATTATCATTGAAATGGCATTATCATGGCGCTCTCTCTGTATTTGTCAACATAGTCAATGCAATCTGCTAGTTGATCCAAGAATTTTAAGAATGTTTAAGGGGAATGTTCAATGACTTGCGCTGATAGTTATGCTTAAGTAATTTTAATGCATAAATTATCTATCCATATGTTTGAACTGTAGTATTAGCATTTTATTCACAGGTTTCATTACATTTTTTTCCTATAATGCAGTTTATCATTCAATTTTTTCCCATGCCAGTTTGCCGTAAATTTTTTTGTTGTCATTTTTATAAAGTGGCTAGTAAGTTATATTTTTCCCCCTTTTCCTGCTGCAAATTACTGCTTGTTAAATATTATAAGTCTACTAAGTAAAAAAAGGAAAGCCGCTTTTTAAATATATAGATGTTTCTAGAGACCCTGCCAACCACTGTCCCCCCTCCTATTCACTACATTGCCTATTCAGGTCCAGACTCTGTGAATAAAAGAGCTAACTTACCCATTCTTTTGTGTACATCGGAGGCTGCATTCAACTGTCTTTTTCCGCAGACTTTTGGAGCAGCCAGATGGAAGAGAAATCCACAGAGAAAAAAACCTTTTGGGTAAATACAAAAGGAATCAAGCTCTTCAGAAATAAAGAAGTGCTGTGCCCCCCCAGTTGAACCAAATTCAGGAATTCCATGTCCTGGGATGCTGTTTTTTTTTCTCTTTTGTCCGGTCTGACCTTTTTTCAGTCCTGCTATTTAATTCCCAGATTAAGAAAAGACAAACATTATTTGCCTTCCAAGAATCCTTAAATTTGAAGTTGATTTGCATCCAAAGCAGCACCGCTGAGCAGATCCCTTCGTCCCTTAGCTGCCTTTTTCCTTTTCCACCGCAGTGATGTCAGCTCAATTGGTTAATTGAAGATCACGCATTCCTCTTTCATTGCTCGAGCTCCTTCATCCCTAACTTGTTGATGGCAGGCTGAGGCTGCACTTGCGACGCCAGTTCCATGTGGCTCTGCTGTGTTGTGTGGAGTTCTCGGCACCAAGGAAGGGGAGATGCAGTGAGGGGAAAGGCAGAGGAGAGGAGCTGAGATGTTATTCTGTGCTTTTGTTGCAGCCAGGGATGGAATGGTTCTCTGTAAAAAATCGAACCGTACGGTTCTCCACACACATTTCGGCACGCACTACCGCGGTTCAACTGAAATCTGACAACGCATCTGTAATATTGTTTGTTTTAAATAAAAACATGTAAAACAAACAGGGTTTGGCTAATGTATGTTTCTGTTGATGGATGTGCATTCTGGCTTCCCAGTACATTACAACAACAGCGATGGGGAAATAAAACAAACGTGGACAAACCATTCACTCTTGTTCAATGCGAGTGCCATATGCTGGAATGTGAGCAGTCATTCCGTCATCGTGCTGATAGCACGCGTGGCAAGACCTGAACAGCACACGTTGACATTTGTGTTTAAACTAAACCCATTTAAGCCTGGCCAGTTTAAACATTTAAGACTCGAGCTTGCACGCAGTGAGAAGATTTGTGCGTGCGCTCATCCGAAGCGCGTGAACCCGCGCCTCAGAGAGCTCGCAAATATTAAGCTCTCTCTGAAGTATTGTGTTTGAGTAGATAAATTCACACAAAAATTGTCAAAATGCCCGTCTTGGTGAGTATCCTAGCAGACATAGCCGGCTGAAAGTACTGTATCAGTGCAGTGGATCAGTGAATTCTCTTAAAGTGACAGCACTTTCTTAATATTAATCATACAGCAACAACAAGGAAATCACTCACTGGTCTTGAGCTTTTGTAACTTTAATAAAGATTAATCTTTAATTAACTAAACACTAATGTTAGACCTACCTAAAAAAAACTTGAAAATCACTGTTTATTTTATTTGTATCTTTACTCTATTGAATTTATTTGTGCTGTTGCTTTGTAGTTAGATTATTCTTATTTTCTTTATTTTTATTTGACAGTATAGTTTTTCCCTAAACATAGCACATACCGAACCATACCGAAACTGTGACTCTAAAACTGTGATACAAACTGAACTGTGAGTAAGTTGAACCGTTCCACCCCTAGTATGTATGTATATGTTTGTGATGAAGCTGGGTGATTTACTACTTTGTAGTAGTAAATTAAAATACATATTAGGTGATTTTGAATTATTTTGTTTGTGATTTTACTTTGATTACGTGTTGATGAATGAGTTTACAATATAATTCAGTTGGCACAGGAAGCTGATACTTCATTTGATATACGATGACTTGCAATCAGATTGTTCCTTCTGCTCCCTCTCCCTTTCGCTCGTTCAGGTTTTCAACACGAAACGCGTCACAAGCAAACCGCCGTCACAGAGACCTTTTATACTCCTGTCGATCTGCGGTGGTGGGGACAGAGTCTGAATGCTGGACTTAATAGAGCATTCACACTGCATAGCCCCACAGGAGATTTCACTAAACATAAGACGTGCACAATGTAGCTGTTGTCTGCATTTTTCTCTGCTCCTCTGTCTTTGGCTAATTTTTCTTCATGTGGGTTTGCTGAATGTATTGTAATGGAAATGAAAACGTTCCTTTTTTAATGAAATCAAGCCTGACATGTTGGATGACGGCCTATCATGCTTACTGGCTAAAAATGGATGAGAAAGAGTATGTATTAGCAGATCAGATTAGCAGGTGGTTGAAAACCACTATTTTGATTCCAAAATAACTTTTTTTTTAATGTCATTTTATTTTTATTAGTTTGTATTTAATATTTTAATAGTATGTATTTGTATATGTTTTTATATATCTCATATTACTTATTTATAAAAAACTTCAACTTTTTTGTTTGCTCACAGACTTAAAAAATCAAGACATTGCAAAGACATTTTCTGAATTCCCCTTTAAAACGATGCTGCTACCGCCATCAATGTACTGCTTTTGTAGCACATTCTCTGCTTTCAGTAAATTTCAGGACAATTATTGCTAGATGTCAAATCGCCTGCTGTGAAAAATTATTCCTGTTATGTGTAATTGTTGGTCTGTTGTAGTTGGACTCTTTGCATTACGTGACTTTTTTTTTTCCAGGATCTCATGGAATGAGTTGTATTTAGGACCTTGTCAAGTTAAAAAGTTGAACTTTTTTACAATGTCAGATTTCAGTCTTCTGTTTTTGAATGCGACGATAGGTATCTAAATGTAAACGTGACTCTAAACCAGCCCATTTATACAAATCTTTCTTTATTCAGATAAGCCACTGTCTAGTTAATTTTCCAAGTGTGTAGCTTGGCAAATCCCTATTTATTTATTTATTTATTTATATTGTTTCTCCTGTGCACACGGTGACTGTGGGTTGTGCTAAAATTGCTTTCGTGCCATTGTACCCACTGTGCTTAATTTGAACATCTGTGTTTCTTTTTTTGGGGTGGTCACTTTCTAAAATGACCTGGGCCATTTTGTGTGCGTATGATTTATTTGTCGTTTTTCTCCATAGGTCATACTACTTTTTTACAGATACTTTTCTCACTGGTGTGTAATCTGCCCTCAAGGGATGTCTCTGCTGAGGAGGAGTTTTAAAATCTTTTTTTCCTTCCACCAAACTGGGGAGATTTGTTCATGCTGAAAGCACAGCTCTACCTGACCATCATTAACTATATGTGTGAAAACACCACGTAAACTAGTGTGAGGAGTCAAATGACTGGCCAATTAAGTGGAGCTGCTCGAGGCAAAATCAATATTGAGTGATCCAAGTCATTTCGCCCTCCGGGGGAATATGCGATCATATAGGTAATATCCGTCGAGTTTTCTTAGTTGCGCTGTGGATGGATGTACCATTTGCGCTTATCTAGGTAATTTTTGTTCAATTCGATGAGCAACTGATCTGAAGGTTAGTGATTTAGAATTGACAGTCCCTCACCATTACACTGGAGAATCTACATTGCTCTGAAGTGCTTTCATCCAACTGGCACAAAATCAGTAGGGTATTAAGGCCGATGGCGTTCACTTGCCTCCTACCATGTACCACACAATGGGGTGAGGATGTAGGGGGGCCGAACTGCCAGTGCCACTGCCATATTTCATTGACTGTCACGCTTGTGCTGCTTGTGCCCCTGTGACGGCCTTCCCCCAGGCTTTTCCCTGTGTTGGAGATTTACCTACCCACCACTGCACATGAGCAATTTGTCTGGGGCATGTGAGTGAGATCCACTCTCCCAACACTAGCCAACCTGGCTTGAAGCGACGGACAAGTGGACGCCTTGTAAAGTGTGGAAATTGCTCAGATTTATCTCCGACATAAATTGCAATCATTGTGTTGGCTAACATGTGAACTCTGCTTGACCAGACTTAACTCCTCCTGCCTACCTTCCTCTGAACTTTGTGTATTGTTAAAAGCTGTCTGACCCATCACATAATGGTTTGTTTTTTAGATGTAAGTGCCTTACTTACATTTTAATCCTTGAAGGTTGGGGATGGAAGAATCAGACACCAGTTCAAAAGAATTTGTCGCATTTTAACTAATCTTTAAGTGTGCCTATGCCCTACATCCTTTTTTTTTTTTGTACTTTCACAACAGGAGAGCTATTTGTGCCATGAATTATTTCATGGACTGCTTAAGCCCAGCTCAAGAATGTGACAGACAAAAACTGTATTTTTGAGCTGAAAAATGTGTCGGTGAAAGAATGTGGGCGGGTGCCTCCTGACAGTACCACAAGTCACGTTAGTCATACGAAACAATAATCGCCAAAGGGGGGTAAAAGAACCTAAACCCCTACAAAGTTTTTAAGAATGAAATGAAATGTTTGCCACGGGGTTGTTACCATCTAAGTGACTCATGCTGTTTAACTTTTTTTCTTCCTCTGTAGAAAATGCATCTTATCCATCATATCTTACAAGTTTGTCTTGTCCTTTCAGTCCTCAGCTTTAACTCCCACCTGTCGTTTTTCTTTTTCCCTGCGAGCCTGACTATAAGAAGTTTAAATGAGCCTAAGTATATTTTCCTCTGTTTGTTTTTATCACAGGCTGGACATAAAGAGAAGAGCGATGCCCTGAACACTGCCATCGACAGGATGACTAAGAAGACCCGTGACCTGCGCAGACAGGTCCGTTCACCTTGAAGCAGTGCACAGAATCACATTTATTTTGATTATAGATGTCAACAAGAATACTTTACGTCCTTCTCCTTAATAATAAATCATGACTCCCTCTTTAAATGCATGTTATGTTTACATTACGTATTAAAAATGAATACACCAAACCCAGGTGCTCTGAGTGATCATACACTAGCTAAGGGTTTGTTTATTTGCGTATTCATAATTTCAGCTGCGGAAGGCTGTGATGGACCACGTGTCAGACTCTTTTCTGGAGACCAATGTTCCACTGCTGGTATTGATCGAGGCTGCCAAGAATGGTAATGAAAAGGAGGTGAAGGAATATGCCCAAGTTTTCCGTGAGCACGCCAACAAACTGATTGAGGTAGGCACCTGTTTTCTGCTCCATAAAGTGCCAATTACTGTCCCTCGTCTGTTGCAGATTTTAAATTCTGGAATTATTTCAAAACAAATGATGGAACATTATTTGTACTCCTCCAGACTAGCTATTCTTTTGTTTAACATGGCATCTCGAAGAGAGCACACATGACTTGAAGCAAACTGGTGATTGTAGGTTTGTTGTCTAAGACATTTTTTGTAGTGTTTTTTTTATATATATATATTTAATTCAGATAAGCCCTTTAGGGGTTTTGTTGTAGAAGTCTGTTGAAATGCACAGACCAGTCCTGATCCAAAATTGATTTTGTGCACTGTATCTACTTGCTTTTGTAGTAGTTGTGACTAACATGAAACAAAATGTGAGTTGTTTTGACATACTAAATTAAATGAAGAGATGAGTCAGGATAGACAGCCTAACTGATTATGGTGGTGGACCACTGAGTGCATCTAATTTGTTTTTTTTTTAACTTTCATATTTTAGGATGCTGTGCTTGAAATGGGGTGGTTTAAGAGACTTTTCTTCTCTGAGAGGGTTTTGGTATGCTGACAGCATGCTTGAACGTGCTGCAGAGAAGTTGCATCTCTAAATTCATCCCCATCAAAGCATCGCTTGTGTAACAAATTCGCCGCCTTCAACAGA